AAAAAAAGAAAAAGGAACCCCCTTGGAAATCATTTGTATCCACATCCCTGTGGCTTACACACAGCACTTTTAACCCCTCCCCAGAAGCGAAGAGGAATTTTAATAGAAGGAGCACGAGACTGTCGCAGCACTCGGCGCTTTCATTGCCACCAAAGTCGTCCCCTTTAGGGGTGCTGACAGTTTCTTCTGAGGCTTAAAAAGACTTTGGGCTGCGAGAGGAGGTGGAGGCAGAGCAGAGGCTGTTTTGAAATCCTTGCTGGAGAATTAGAAAAAAAAAAAATAAATAAACCAACCCCAAACCACGAGCTCCATCTCCTCCAATGAAAGAGGTACCACAGGGTGTAGGCAGGTTGCCAGGCGAGCTCGGCAGCGTGACCGCACTGCATTGAGTTTCTTTAATGAAAGCCAGGAAAGAACACATTACACAGTGTTTCTTCTGAGAGCCAGCGAGCCTCCAGTGATTGAAATCAATAAAAACAGTCGGCAAGGGGCCCAGTGGGGGAAGAGAGAAATCTCCACTACAGCATTCAGTTTGCTTTCCACTTTCTCCCTCCCCCTCTAAAGTTAAAACTCCGAAGATCACCATGACAAGCTGCTTCGCTTCCAGCTCTGGGAAGACGCTGGTGGGGATTTAAAGGAAGCGAACACTTTCCTTCGCTTCCCTTGCYTTTGCTCTCCCCCCAGCGCGAAGGAAATGAAAGGCTTGTTTGGAATTTGAATCCCGCCTGGAAAAAAAAAAAAAAACTTCATTGGACAAGTGCATCGTTCTGCATTTCAGGAAAGGGATGGATTTTACGGTCGGAGAATGCTAAAAGGTGAGAGGGGGAAGAAAAGCAGGAATCTGATCCAGCCGGAGCAGGGTAGGATGTCCAAGCCGGCGGGAGCGGCTGGGAGCAAGTGCCTGAGATCATCCACATCCTGAGGCACCTGGAGCGTCGGGAACACGTGAAAAACACGGCGAGCCAGGTAAGCAAAACCCGCTTTTGCCGATGTTCTGTCCCCGGTCCGAAAGCCGGGACACCCTTGTGCTCAGCCTGCCCCGCGGCCGCCCYCGTTAACCTCGGGCGACTTAACGCTAAGCTTGTCCCGTCTGAGAACCGTGTCAGGCCACTAATCCTCGCTCAACTATAAACCGGGCACAAAAGCCCTTTGTTTACGAGTTTTGTGTCCAATTCGCGAGCTGACAAGGTAGGACAGGGCCATTGCATAAGTGCAGCCCCCCCAGGAGTGGGGAGACGCGMCTGACACCGCACACTCTGGAGCTGCTGCGATCCGAGAGAGCGCCACTAATGCATTTCTAATATGGTCCATATTTATCTATTTTATTTATGTATTTTAATCACCATAGCAGCCACATACAGAACATACTTGCAGCGAGWTCCATGGGCTGCTCTGCACTCACAGCAGCGTGCGCACACGGGGTCTAGGCTGATTGTTTGCTCAGAAAAAACTTTGCAATTTGTTGTTAAAACAGCCAGGAGGGRTTTCTGGCACCACCGACACAGGTTTATGCAGCACGTGTGTGTTTGCCAATACCCTAATGCAAGCAGKGTTTATCCCCTRTRAGAATGGGGAAGGCACAGATAACARCTGTAGRTCACAACATTCTTCAACATCAASTTTTTGGCCAACTTCGGATGATTTACGAATCATCCTCAGTGAGGCACGGAGAATGAAATCAAAGCCTGCCTTCTGCAAAGCAAGCAAAAATGCTGATAGCTCCATCTCCCCTCCAGCAGAGGCAGGAATTCAGTGGGACAGATAACAAATAGGTGCCTGTGGAGCAAGAGCAGCAATTCTTGTCCCTCTCATGCTGGTCATCATTAGATGTTGACAGCAGCACACATGCTCACTGCTGGAGAGGGATGATGCCTCCACTTGCACTGAATGTTTCCCCAAATCTTTATCCCAGCCTGGTTGGCTCTGAAGGTAGAGAGAAAAAACTTCCCCAGCATCACCTTCAGCTCAGTAGCAGCAGATAGAATGCATTAATTTAATACAGCAAGTGCAGATGGGCGTCTGCAGGTGCAGTGCTGCTCTTTCCTTGGAAAATACACCCTTTTCAAGAGTTATTTTGTTATTTTCACACCACTCAGAAAAGGATGACTCACCCGCTTAAAGAATGACCTGGAGAACACCCCCATGACCAAAAGTAAAGCGCATAAGTTGCAGCACAAACTGTTCTAATAAAGCTATGAAAATAGCTGGGACAGTATTTAATTAGTAAGAAATTTCTAGACTAATTTATTAATCCAGATTTGAGCTTTTCACGCAAAACAATTGCAAAATTATAGCTGAAGGTGTAATTAAAGAACAGTAATTTACAACAAAAAAGCAAAGTTATGATTCATAAGAGAACAGCATCTACACGAAGTTTTGGGTATATCCACCGATCCACAATTCATTTTGCAGAATCAGTTCTCTGTTTTGCCTCCCCTGCACAGATGCTTTGCAGAAATGACAGCACCTTCATAGCTCAGGAATCACTGCAATCATTCCCACACCAATCAACAAGTCTGCTTTGCACTGCTCTTGRAGCTAAATTTATCCTTATGCAGAGGAACTCACTGAAGTCTTTATTTAACATTTCAGACAAGGAAAGCTTAGGTGGGACTTACACAACACATATCACTTGTACTGACATTCTCAAGCTCAAGTGATATTCCTCCCCATTACTCTCTCAGCAAAAATATAAATATTATGTTTAAAGTACAGGATATTTTTGTTCATAATGATGCATTTTTCAGAAGCCAAGTGGCATGAGTGTCCACTGTCACTGGGATGTTCTTTTCAAAAACACAATTTAAGAAAGAAATGTATTTTCTCAATCAGAAGTTGTGGTCAGAAAGAGATATTCTAGCAGTCACATCAGGGTTTTTCAGTCATGTTAATGTTATTAAAACAGATTCTGTGCACAATGACCCAGTCCTTCAGGCCCTCCCTTTTAGAGTGTGGAGATCTGGAAGAAACCCATGTTGCTTTTCTGAGTTGGGTACAACAAAAATGAAAAAACTGGAATCAATTTCTACATTTCTGCTGGACTTGGCAGTCCAGTAGAAATCACCAGGAGTACTTTGTCCTCAACAATGAAACAAATCTTCATCATAATCAAGAGTTCCTAATGGTTCATGCCAATTGTCCTCACAGCAACGCTAACTGCAAAAGAGCTGTTTGAAAACAGTCCATTAGGTTTTGAAGCAGTCAGCAAAATAGATGAAATTGTTTTAAAGGTGAAAGGACGAACATTTTGTTTTAATCTCCCCTATTTAAGCCTTTAGGAAGGAAAAGGTCTGGGATTATACAGAACAAATTAAATGACCATTTAAAAAAATGCTGAAATTCAACAATAAAGGTGCCAGCACCAGCGTCTGCTGAACACCTGGACAGTGTTAGGTGAAACATAATATTCATGCCTGCACTGGTGGAAAAGGAACATTGCCATCCCTTTCAAATGAACATGACCTGACACTTCTTGAATATGGTAAAGCTTCAAGGTGTCTCCTTTCTTATTTATACCAGTGGTTCATGTTCACAGTGCTGGATTCACTCAGCTGAGTATATTTAGTTTGCTCAGTCTCAAATTGAYAGCTTCTCTGTAATGTACCCGTTCTGACTTAAAAATGGAACGTAATTAACATACAGCTGGAGAAGGTACATTTTTGCCATTTATGGGAAAGCCTTGTGAAGCTGAAGACTAAATATTAAGTAGAAAATAAATGGTTCTTGATCCCTAGCWAAGGTGGCTTTCCTTACAATTCAAACAGGAATCCTTGTATTTGACTTAGGAAAGACATTTTTGTTAAAAACAACAAGGTCATCAAAACCCATCAAAAACTTCTTCTTACCAACAAGTTGTCACTAGGTTCAGCTGCAGAGTTAACAGGATTTTATAGCTACAGGGAATGAAAGTCCTGGGATAAACACTACTCTCAAACCCTCTGTATCCTCACAGATCTCAACAGAACTTTTATTCATTAGTATATTACTAAAACGAGCACCATTTTTAGTCAGCTATATTAAGATCTTCTTTAAAACCTATCTATTTCAGGATGCATTTCACCCATACCTGCATTTCTATACACTCAGCTGCACACGCACACGTAGGCGGGGACACGCAGATTTCAATTTGTGAAGACACCCAAGAAAACGGAGTGGGCAGGACTCATTTCTTTAGCAGAATGTGATAATTTCGTGATTCAATCACCCTAAAATAGACACCCACAGCAGCCTCTAAATGTCCTGCACCTTCATCCTGAGAATAAAGGCATCAACAACCTCAGYTCATGTCTTGCCACTTGGTTTGCTTCACAATGGGATAAATGGTTTGGGAGACAGAGAACTGGACCCTCAGTTTGGCTGTGAAAAGAGAGACACCTTAACACGAAATGAGGAAGAAATGTGCTGGGCATTACTGATTTTTGCATTGACTTCCTGCCTAGTGATAACCACAGGCGGATGATTGAGACTGTGACAATTAAATTGCRTGAAATGATCTGTCTTCTAAATATATATAATTTCCACTAACAGACCTTTCAACACCTGTATGCAGAATTTGAGAATGTTTAAAGAAATAAGTACTGTAAAGCTGTACTATAAAACCCTATCTCAGGTACAGTTCAGTTGCCACTGAAAATCCTGTTTTAAGAAGTTCTTTCTCGAGGATGGTAAAGGAGGAATGTTTTTAAGAGCTGGCATGAATTACACAATCTACATTTCCTTCAGGTCTGCCTGCTGCTCTTGAAATCCTCATGAGCAAGTGCATGAAACATGACTGATAGCGACAAAGAATTTGAATTTGTTTGTGGGTTTGAAATGGTCTCCTGAAAATTCCTTACGAAAATTCCATCCATAATTTCAGCATTTTGAAAGTCTCTGAAAATTGAGTGCAATACATTTCAAAATCCTATTTATTCAGTAATTCTCTACRTGCTTTCTGTTCTTGTGAGCTTACTGATAACTATACATCTATGAWACCAACTTTTAAACTCTCCAAATCTATCACACAGCTGAAAATACYGAAATGCCATCTGGTTTTTATAGCATCAGGTGTGCCTTCATTATGCGTTTGAGAGGCAGAGCAGAAAATTGAAAAACAATTATGATTTAAGAAGCTAAATTAAAACCTTTTGACTGTTTAGTAAAAATGGTCCATAAAACCTGTTTGTATTCCAACAGACCACACTGAAAGRTATCATTGTAAAAGCAGCACAAATCAAGGTGTTGGTGGTGTTTGTCTGTTTTGGAATTAAGGCATGTAGCAAGTTATCCGAAAACCAAATTATATTAATATATATTTCAATAATAAATAGCTAAAGCATATTTATAAAATGAATACTAGAATTTACATGGACTGAATTTATAACTCATGATAGTTTCAAAGCCAAGGTTTATCTGCTGAAGGTACATTTTACATC